ATGTCTTGAGCATCCACTATCAAGGTACCATGAATTTGAATTTGTTTCCCGTGCCTTGTAGCAATGCTCCTTTCCCTACAAACATAGATTAACTTTTGATTTTTGGTACCCAAATTCTTTTGGGTCCATATTCATTAGTTTCCAAAATCCTAGTCCCCTTAGGTATCCATTTGTGTAGGATATTTTTATCTTTAGTAGTAATGAGTTCTTTAGGAACCCATATACTTCTAACGATTTTTCCATTAGAGGTTCTTTGGGGACCTCTATGATTGTAGTTTCTAAAACTTTTTCTAACAAAGTTGGATTTTGAATTTCCACCTTTTTCAAAATGTTTTGTTCCAACTTTATCAAAAGAAGTTTTAAGATCATCAATTTTCTTTTGATGATCATCATTGATCTTTGAAAGTAAATTTTTCAAATCTAAATTTTTCTTTTCAAACTCTTCTAGTTTGATTTGCAAGTATTTGATTTTACTTTTAAGATCGTTGTTGGTTTTGGATATGAGTTTGTTTTCATTTTTCAATTTTGAAACATCATTTTTATATTTTAAAAATAATTTCTCATAATCCGAAGCCAACCCATTATATTCCTCTAATAACTCATCATAAGATAAATCATCAAAATCGGAAGAGTTAGAGGTTACCTTAGAATCTTCCCCGAATGCCATCAAGCACAAGTTTGCTACTTCTTGTTCCTCTTCATCGGAACTTTCTTCATTGCTCCATGTAGCCACATGAGCCTTGTGCTTATTCTTTGATTGACCCATTTTCTTTAATTGTGGGCAATCATATTTGACATGCCCCGGCTTTTTGCATTCATAGCAAATGATTGGGTCCTTCTCTTTTGGTTCATTTGTGAGGCCTTCGTTTCGTTTGAATTTTCTTCCTCGGTAAGGTCTCATCATTTTTCTGAACCGTTTGGCAAACAATGCCATTTCCTCATCATCATCATCATTATTAGAATCGCTCTCATCTTTTGTGGATTTGAGAGCAACTCCAATGTTTTTCTTCTTCTCCTTCTCCTTTGGTGTCTCTTCAACTTTATCAAGGTCCACCTCATCTTCAAGCATCATCTCATGAGTGAGGAGTGAACCGATAAGTTCTTCAAGAGTTAAGGATGATAGGTCCTTAGACTCAATGATTGTCGTCTTCTTTGATTGCCATGATTTTGGGAGGGAGTAGACTAACTTCCTCACAAGCTTTTCATTTGAGATGATCTCTCCATATGATTTGAGACCATTGACAATCGTTGAAAATCTATCCGTCATAGCTTTGATGTCTTCATTTGGTTTCATCCTGAAATTTTCATAGCTATGCATTAGAATACTAATTTTTAATTTCTTTACCTCATCGGTACCTTCATGTGTGACTTGAAGCTTGTCCCATATTTCTTTGGCGGTTGTACATGATGAAACTCTTTCGTATTCATCTGGTCCAAGAGCACAAAAAATAATATGGATGGCTTTGGAATTGAGCTGGAACATTCTTGTATCTCCTTCACTCCACAACCTTGGATGAGTGAGAGGCTTGATGTATCCTTCTTCTACGGCATTCCATGCTCCCATGTCACTTGCTTGAATGAAGTACATCATTCTATTCTTCCAATAGGCATAATTAGCCCCATTGAAGAAAGGAGGCTTGTTGACGGGCATCGAATCGAGACCGGAGTCGTAATTTAAAGTGGAGGCCATTGATGACTTTGTAATCAATGTAACTCTTCCTGAATCGACTCAAGAGGTGATTAAACCTTCAAATGAGTGAGGCTCTGATACCAATTGTTGAGTTAATCGATCGACGGAATCGGCCAAGAGGGGGGTGAATTGGCAATTAAAAATTTCGTGGAAGCTTTTGCAGAAAATTGAAAGTAATTGCACAGCGATTTACAGTGGTTCGACTTTCTCAAACAAAGTCTACGTCCACTACCTTAGCTATCCACACTAAGGATTTTCCAACAAATTCACTAATTTGTTCTTTCTTTTGAGGCCAAAGAGATAACCTTACAAAATCCCTCAAGAGTATACCCCAACTCTTGAGAACACTCTTTTTCCCAAAGAGAAGATTACAAATTTGCAAACTTACAAGAAAAACCTCACAAGGTAATATGTTTGCACAATTCTAGAACAAGTAAAGAACACTCAAAGATAATTACAAATGAGCACAAATGGTGTTCTTGAAAGCAAAATGAATATTGAAAGGAAAATTGGCTTGATTTGCACAAACTTGGTGTTTGATGTTTTCTCTCTTGTTTATCTATAATTTCTTCTTGATCAAGGGCTTCAGAACTTGTTTAAATACACCTTGAATCACTTCTGAACGTTGGTGATAATTAGTGGAGTCAATAGAGCCGTTCAAGTGTGAAAACAATTAATTTTTTTGGGTGTAGCGTCTCATGCATCGATGCATGATGGAGGATGCATCGGTGAATCAGTGTAAAATTCAAATATTTTGACCGTTGGAACACTTGATGCATCGGTGCACCAAGTGTGCATCGATGCATGAAATGCATTCGATGTTTGAAAATAGCCTGAGTGCATCGATGCATGGCTTGTGCATCGATGCATCAAATGCATTCGATGTTTTGAAAATATTCAGAGTGCATCGATGCATGGAGAATGCATCGGTGCATGGAATGCATTCGATGTTTCAATTAATTCACTAATGCATCGATGCATGGTTGATGCATCGGTGCATCACCTCAAATAATTGAATTTAGGCTTTGATTTTGGTTCAAAATACTTTGTGAAAATTGTTTTAAAAATAGTTTAAGTACAAATCACAATTTTACACATTTAGTAAGGTTTAAAATTGATCTTGAAAAACTTGGAGTAATAATTTGATATTCAGTTAATTGAATCGAATATAAAATTGTAACATCATTTGTAAAATCTTAAAATTCATTTAACTTAATTTGTTATATCGAAATATCAAAAATGTTTTCAACAGCTTCCTTCCTTGTGGTAGTGGCACAAAGTCCCATGTATTATTTTTTATGAAGGGCTTCGATTTCTTCTTGCATCGCCATCATCCACAGTGAAGCATCTGAGTTATTTATTGCCTCCTGGTATGTTGATGGCTCACCGTCCCTGTTAAAAGGCAGTATGCAATATTACATTCTATAACATAATCTGAGTGCCAATTGGGACGTCTTCTTACACGATCTGATTGACGAGTTGTTGGAGCTTCAGAACTCTCTGGTTCTTGTTCATCATGTGCTGGTTCTGCTTCAGAATAATCTCCTTGTTCAAACTCCTTTTCCACATGTATCTGTGTAGTCTCTGACTTTTCAGCGCTATCATCGTCTTCTTTTCTTTGTAGTTTATCTTCTACAAAGATAACATCTCTGCTGATGATCACTTTGCGGGCAGTGGGATCCCACAAGTGATACCCCTTTACTCTATCAGCATACCCCAAGAATTTGCATTTCCTGGATTTTGGATCCAACTTTGAAATTTCTTGGGAGTTGTACATCACGTACACAATACTTCCAAATACATGGAGGTTTGAATAATCAGCTGGTTTACCAGTCCACATCTCCATTAGTGTCTTCAATACTATTGCAGTTGATGGAGCTCGATTCACCAAATAACAGGCGGTATTGACTGCTTCTGCCTAGAATGATTTTTCTAGGCTTGCATCCCTTAATATTGCTCTTGTTCTTTCTAACAAGGTTCTGTTCATCCGCTCTGCCACTCCATTTTGTTGAGGAGTGTTCGCCACCGTGAGCTGTCTTTTGATGCCTTCTTTCCTGCAAAAGTCATCAAATTCTTCGCTTGTGTATTCTCCTCCATTATCCGTTCTGAAACACTTGTTCTTCTTTCCAGAATCAAGTTCCACCCGCGCTTTGAAGTTTTTGAAATTTGAAAACACATCTGACTTCTTCTTAATAGGGTACACCTAACATCTCCTGGAGTAGTCATCAATAAATGAGACAAAGTATTTTACTCCGCCTAGGGATGTAATTGGTGCTTGCCATACGTCAGAGTGAACCAATTCTAGAACACCTTTGCCTCTAGAATTTGATGCATTGAATTTCAACCGGTGCTGCTTACTTGTTATGCAATGCTCACACAAAGGAAGTGATACCTTTGTTAAGCCTGGAAGTAGCTTTTGCTCCACAAGGAATTTCATTTCTTGTTCTGACATGTGTTCAAGTTTCTGATGCCATAACATTGCAGAATCTGAACTACATGAGGCAACAGAGGCTTCTGCTTCTATCAAAGTCTCTCCCTTCAGCATGTACAAGTTTGCAACTATCTTTTCGCCTTTCAGCACCACAAGCGCTCCACGGAACACCTTCATGATTATCCCATTTAGCAAATTTTCAACAAATTGCTGCACCTTTTTGACTATGCATCATTCGGTGCATTTGTTTATTTTTTTTCTTTCAAATTTCAACTTGCACCTTTCGGTGCATTGAATTTTCAACAGATTCATTATCGTAGTGATAGACTTACTGGAGAAAAACTTGTTGATTGCACTCCAAACTTCCACATTCGACTCCGCTCTGACGAACTGAGGAATGAATTGAGAACTAACAGTGGATAGTAACTATGACAAGAGGGCACTAACCCTTACCCTGAGCAACGAAGATTTCATAATCTTCAAACTACATTCGTTTCCACAATCTCACCGTTCTCACGAACTACAGTCTGCGACGACGGGGCAACAGACTCATAGAGAAGCTTCTTCATCCGATGCCTTCTCACAGAAAAAATAACATGTTGTTTCCAGATAAGATAATTAAACTCATTGAGGATTACGCTCACTTTCATATTTGTGAACGATTTGGAATGAGTCACAGAGATTGCGCCAATCTCCATCAGACTATCGTCAGAAGAATCACGGGGCATGACAATGAGCCTTAGTAGAAACGAAATAAAGAGAGAAACCCAAGACTTTCAGCAAATGATACCAAATTACCTTTTGTACTACATAGGATCTCAGATAAATGAGAGTTTCAGTAAAAAAAGAATTGAATATTAAAAAAGTGCACGGATTACAATGACTCTAACCTTTTCAACTCAGGTGTTTGCAGCGCTGCAAATAGATTTTCCTCAGTATGCTCCTATTCTAGATTGGACTCTTTGGTTGTCACACTTCTCCCTCAACTAATTCTCTTTTTGTTGCTATATGGGCCATTTGAAGTCATAGAAACAAGGTAATTCACGACAATGCTCAGAATAACCTTTTTGCTATTACTACATTTATCAAAGCCTATTTAAGAGAGCAAGATTCCCTGCACACCGCAAAAATCAATCCTAATGTTTCATATAATGCGGGTTGGTTCCCACCCCCTATGGATGTCATGGAAGTCAATTTTGATGCTGTATTTGATAAGAATAATTTTATGTCAGCGACTGGAATTGTTATAAGGAATCACAAAGGAATATTAATAGCTGCTGGATCTTACCTGAACCTACTAAAAATTTCCGATCCATGTGTAGCAGAGGCAACAGCATGTGAACAGGCCATCAAGCTAGCACGGGAGTTGAACTTCAGGAAGGTGATTATTGAAGGGGACTCTCTAACTGTGATACGGAAGCTCCAAACCCCTATACAGAACCGTTCTTTGATCATCATGATTATTAAGAATGTGATAACGAAGTGTAAGGACTTTACTGATTATTCTTTTAGACATGCAGCTAGAGCTTCCTCCCCCGTTGATCGAAGTAGCTATCGCGAAAGACAGATGGTGGGTTGATCCACTAGATTGATTCAAAAGCCCCGAGTCGTATCCCTTATTTCTGTTGCGAAAGACGGCTATTGGATAGAGCAAAATCACAACTGATAATTTGAGAAAATAAAAATGAAGATAAAGAAGACACATAATTTACGTCGAAAACCCCTAAATAATATAGGGTAAAAACCACGGGCAACGGTAGAAGAATTTCACTATGAGAAAATAGGAATTACAACTTCTCTCGATCTATCAAGGAGAAAACAATGATAATTCTCTCTTGATAAAAAGGAGAAAACAACTCTCAAGAATCTCTCTAAATTCTCTCTAGTATTAGAAGAAAGCTAGAATGTTTTGGGAAAATTTTTAAGCTAAATGAGCTAGGATATTTATAGTAGAAGCTTAAGGACTAATTTGAAAATACCCTAAATTACAATGACTAAATATGATTATCCCATTTAGCAATTTTTCAACAAATTGTTGCACCTTTTTGACTATACATCATTCGGTGCATTTGTTTATATTTTTTTCTTTCAAATTTCAACTTGCACCTTTCGGTGCATTAATCACCTTGTACCTTCATGTATTCACACCATTCTTTCTACCTTGTACCTTCATGTTGCTTACGTTTCTGACAGGCCACAAGAGGATCGACACCAGGTAAATTTATCAGCGTTGATCACATTCGTTATGAAATCTGCTATGTTGTCTTTGGTATGGATCTTCTACATATCTACCGTCATTTCTTCCACCATTTTACGAATGAAATGGTATTGAACTCATATGTGCTTTGTCCTTGAATGAAATGCTGGATTCCTTTCTAGATGCAAGGCACTTTGACTATCACAAAACAGAGAGACATACTCTTGATTGTGCCCAAGCTCCTCTAATAGCATCTTCAACCAAATTGCTTCTTTACTGGCTTGTGTAGCTGCTACATATTCTACTTCTGTTGTGGATGTAGCCACAACTGACTGCAATTTTGAAACCCAGCTTACATCTCCACCAGCAACTTTAAACACATATCATGTAGTAGATTTGTTTTTATCCAAATCCCCTCAATAGGTAGAATCAACATACCCATTGATAAGTAAATTTGATCCTCCGTAACATAATACAACATTTGAGGTCCCTTTGATGTATCTCAGAATCCTATTTAATGTATTCCAATGCTCTTTGCCTGGATTTTCCATGTACCGACTAACCACTCCCACTGCTTGTGCAATGTCTGGTCTTGTGCATATCATAGCGAACATTAAACTTCCCACTGCCGATGCATACGGTACTCGAGACATCTCCATCCTCTCTTCTTCGCTGCTAGGACTCATACTGGAGGATAATTTGAAGTTAATAGGAAGATGGGTAGAAATTGGCTTACAATCTTGCATGTTGAATCGTGACAAGATATTCTTTAAGTAATTCTTTTTTGAAAGCCAACTCTTCCTATTACTTCTGTCTCGGTGAATTTGCATCCCTAGAATCTTGTTTGCTGATCCCAAGTCCGTCATTTCAAATTCCCTAGCCAGTTGTGCCTTCAATTCTTCAATATGATCATTGTTGGGTCATGCAACCAACATGTCATCCACATACAACAGTAATATAACAAAATCGTTATCACCAGACCTCTTGAAATAAGCACAAGGATTTGCATTAAGTTTGTTGTATCCAAGGCACATAATGAAGGAATCAAATCTCTTATACCAACACCTCGGTGCCTGCTTTAGACCGTACAGAGATTTGTTCAACCTGCAAACCAAGTTCTTCTTTTCTTTTTCTTCAAAACCTTCAGGCTGGAACATGTAAATCTCTTCTTCAAGATTTCCATGAAGAAAAGTTGTTTTAACATCTAGCTGCTCTAGATGTAAATTCAATGTAGCATACATTGCCAAAATTACTTGAACTATTGTTAGTCGAACCACAGGAGAAAATATTTCATTGAAATCAATACCTTCTTTTTAAGTATATCCTTTGACCATATCCTTTGACCACCAGTCTTGCACGATACCTCTCAACTTGATCGTCACCATTTCACTTGATTTTGAAGACCCATTTGTTACCAATTGGCTTCCTTACTTGTGGTAGTGACACAAGGTCCCATGTATTATTTTTATGAAGGGCTTCAATTTCCTCTTGCATCGCCATCATCCATAGTGAAGTATCTGAGCTGTTTATTACCTCCTGGTATGTTGATGGCTCATAGTCCTCTGTTAAAAGGCAGTATGCAATATTACCTTTTATAACATAATCTGAGTGCCAATTGGGACGTCTTTTCACACGATTTGATTGACGAGTTGTTGGAGCTTCAGAACTCTCTGGTTCTTGTTAATTCATGTGTTGGTTCTGCTTCAAAAGAATCTCCTTGTTCAAACTCATTTTTCACATGTATCTGTGTAGTCTCTGACTTTTCAGCGCTATCATATTCTTCTTTTCTTTATAGCTTATCTTCTGCAAAGATAACATCCCTGCTAATGATCACTTTACGGGCAGTGGGATCCCACAAGCGATACCCCTTTACACCATCAGCATAACCCAAGAATTTTCATTTCCTGGATTTTGGATCCAGCTTTGAAATTTTTTGGGAGTTGTACATCACGTATACAATACTTCCAAATACATGAAGGCTTAAATAATCAGCTGGTTTACCAGTCCACATCTCCATTGGTGTCTTCAGCTCTATTGCAGTTGATGGAGCTCGATTCACCAAATAACAGGCGATATTGACTGCTTCTGCCCAGAATGATTTTTCTACGTTTGTATCCCTCAACATTGTTCTTGTTCTTTCTAACAAGGTTCTGTTCATCCGCTCTGCCACTCTATTTTGTTGAGGAGTGTTCACCATTGTGAACTGTCTTTTGATGCCTTCTTTCCTGCAAAAGTCATCAAATTCTTCGCTTGTGTATTCTCCACCATTATCTATTCTGAAACACTTGATCTTATTTCCAGAATCAAGTTCCACCCGCGCTTTGAAGCTTTTGAAAGTGGAAAACACATCTGACTTCTTCTTAATAGGGTACACCCAACATCTCCTGGAGCAGTCATCAATAAATGAGACAAAGTATTTTGCTCCGCCTAGGGATGTAACTGGTGCTTGCCATACATCAGAGTGAACCAATTCTAGAACACTTTTGGCTCTAGAATTTGACGTGTTGAATTTCAACCGGTGCTGCTTACTTGTTATGTAATGCTCACACAAAGGAAGTGATACCTTTATTAAGCCTGGAAGTAGCTTTTTCTCCACAAGGACTTTCATTCCTTGTTCTGACATGTGTCCAAGTTTCTGATGCCATAGCATTTCAGAATCTGAACTACATGAGGCAACAGAGGCTTCTGCTTCTAGCAAAGTTTCTCTCTTCAGCATGTATAAGTTTGCAACTATGTTTTCGCCTTTCAGCACCACAAGCGCTCCACGGAACACCTTCATGATTTCTTTCCGTGTTTCAATCTTACTTGCATTATTATCCAACAATTCGTAGGATAATAAATTTTTCTTTAGGCCTTTCACGTGCCGCACATGTCAAATAACTTTAATTGTTCCATCATACATCTTCAATTTGATGGTTCCCACGCTAATGATCTCTAAGGCATGATCATTGCAACTATACACAGATCCTCCTGAGACAGGTTCATAATGATGGAACCATTCTCTTCTTGAGGTCATGTGACATGTTGCTCCCGAATCAATGAGCTATATGTCTGCATATCTCTTTCTACCTTCTACGGTGGTTGACGCTTCACAACATAGAGAATCTTCATCATCTGAAGTGTTTGCAGTATTGCCTTGTGGATTGGAGTTTTTATTTAGACTCCAACAATCCTTCTTCAAGTGACCATTCTTTCCACAGTTGTAGCACTTTAAATTTTTCTTGCTTCTCGACTTCGATCTACCATGTTTGTGACTGCTGCTTTGGCCACGTTCTGTTGATCTCCCTCTCATCGTTGTCAACGCTTCTGCTTGTTGCAGATTTACTTGTTTGTCTTCCTTGTTCTTGCGCCGATTTTCTTCTTGTAGAACAACAGCTACAACGTCATCGAAGACTAGACTGGTGATATTACTGTTTGTCAAGTTAATCATATGAATCCGGTAGACTTTGAAGTAGAAGTTCAGCACGTTCTTGTTCTACTATTTTACAGCTTAAGGATGTAAGCTGAAAAAATAAAGTGTTCAATGTGTTTAAGTGCTCCGTCACTGAAGTAGATTATGACATACGGAGAGTGTATAATTTTCTCTTAAGGAAAATTTTATTATGCAACGATGTGGCCTCGTACAGTTTAGTGAGATGATCCTATATCTCCTTAGTTGTCTTCTTCTCCTCAATGATTGACAATACTTCATCTGCTAATGCTAGATGAAAGTTTGCCATAACATTTCCGTCCATTTCAATCCATTTGTTGTCATCTGTAAAATCCATCGGTCTTTCACTGATAGCTGTTAGACAACCGTCTTTCCTCAGAATGGCCTTCATTTTCAATTTTCACAATGAGAAATTTCTCCCATTGAATTTTTCAATATCAAATTTCATTGCCATAGCTTCTTTTACGGATAACTCTCATTATTTCACTATCGTGAATAGTTCTCTGGAACCTTCAAAGAATGGGTAATACCTTCTTACTTTCTTATGTTGGAGGATCCACCTTTTGGTGACAACCACAAAGACAATAATCAGATATTACACACTCAAATCTGGCTCTGATACCAATTGTTGCGAAAGACGGCTATCGGATAGAGTAAAATCGCAAATGATAATTTGAGAAAATAAAAATGAAGATAAAGAAGACGCACAATTTATGCGGAAAACCCCTAAATAATATAGGGTAAAAACAACGGGCAACTGATAGGGAAGCGGTGACGGATTGATGAACGTTACTCTTGTTGAAGAATCAAACCTAGAAAGTTCTAGACTCGATGAAGAGCAGTGGGGAATGAATAGGGGAAGGTGGTGGCAGCAAGTAGGGTTCTTTAGAGTTTCTTTTAGGTGCTGGAAACAAGGTAAGAAACAAGATTAAAACAAGATAAAGAAAAGATA